ATTGTCTGACTTCAGCTACAGGTCTTCATATTGGCCCTCATGTCCTTATTACACAATCCTAGGAGTGTTTGATGATTTTCTTGTTTTCTGGTATAATAAAGTATTTCAGGCTCATCTAATACATTTTCTGTTCTAGACCTGGAAACAGCCATTCCTTCAGGGAACTGTGGTTCTTTTCATAGGGAATGCTATTTAGAGACCATAATCGAGGCACAGACCTACTCATTGCTTCTTGTTTGGATATTTCTTCTAGGTCTTTTTAGTGGACTGAGCTAGGAAATCCTTTCTCTTTCTTTCTTCTTTTTTTTTTTAAAGACAAAGTATATATTGAATATATACCAATACTGCCAATTTAAAGAATCTGTCTTCTTAGATTTTATATATCTAGATTTCTAATCTTTTCTCTCTTGCTGGAAATCTCAGTTCCTAACCACATAACATAATTAAGTTTAAGCTTTCTTTGGGATAGTATCACATTTCTGTGTTTGCCAATCAGTTGAAGTAATTCCTTCTTGTGCTTATCATAATGCTTCTTCATCCATGATGCTGCAGTATTTCCTTTTGGTCTCTGAATAGAATTCTATTGTGTGAATATCGCACAGTTTTTTACCTTTTTTTTCAATTGATGGATATTTGGTATCTTTCCAGTTTGGGCCATTATGAACAAAGCTGCTATAAACATTCTCCTGCAAGTCTGCTTTCATTGTTTCTTACATATACACCAAGAGTGGAATTGCTGGGCCACAGGGTAGACCTTTCTTTGACTTTTTTTTTAATTAATTACTTTTTTAAAATATTTATTTTTGAGAGACAGAGTGCTAGTAGGGGAGGAGCAGAGAGAGAGAGAGAGAGAGAGAGAGAGAGAGAGAGAATCTGAAGCAGGCTCCAGGCTGAGCTGTCAACACAGAGCCTGACACAGGGCACAAATCCATGAACCGTGAGATCACGACCTGAGCCAAAGTTGGCCGCTTAACTGACTGAGTCCCCCAGTCACCCCTTTATTTTTTTTAACATTTATTCATTTTTGAGAGACAGAGTATGAGTGGGGGAAGGGCAGAGAGAGAGAGAGAGGGCAGAGAGAATCTGAAGCAGGCTCCAGGCTCTGAGCTGTCAGCACAGAGCCCGACGTGGGGCTCTAACCCACTAGCGGTGAGATCATGACCTGAGCCAAAGTTGGACACTTAACCAGCTGACCCACCCAGGCACCCAAGACATATCTTTGAGTTAAATTACTGAACAGTGTCCTAAAGTATTTGTATCTTGGTTCAGGCTAATATAACAAAGATACCATGGACTGGGTGGCTTAAATAACAAACATTTATTTCTCACAGTTCTGGAGGTGAGGAATTCTAAAATCAAGGCACCAGCAGATCTGGTGTATTGTGAGGGCACTCTTCCCAGTCTGCAGATGGCTGTGTCCTCTGTGATGGAGACCTGGGATAGGGTGGGGGTGGGGAGGGGAGAGAGTAGGAGTGGGCATGCCTGAGCTCTCACCAATCCCATGATGGGGGCTCCACCCCCATGACCTCATCTAAACCTTCTTACCTCTTTAAACTCCCAAATGTAGACACCACATTGGGGATTAAGGCTGCAACATACGAATTTTGGCAGGGGGTGGGGGTACACATTCATCCTACAGCCCTTTGTATCATTTTACACTTCCACTAGCAGTGTGCTAGAGGTTCTGTGCATTCAATTTCTCTCTCCTTTTCTAGTTTTCCTCTTTTTATTCTGATAAAATATGCTTAATATCTTTTCCTAACCCTGCATTGAACTTTCAATTTCTGATGTTAAATTTCAGTGCACTTCTATTTCCTATCATTTAATAATGTTTTATTAGAACATCCTCTGACTTTAGATTTTTATTCCAGAGTATTCGTATTTAGAAAAGGGAATGATAGTAAAGTACATTCAGAGAAGTCTTTGTTTTTGAGGGCAGATTAAGATTTACTCCCTTTAGGGTTGCCTGGGTGGCTCTGTTAGGCGTTTGACTCTTGATTTTGGCTCAGGTCATGATCTAACAGTTTTTGGGATCGAGCCCTGAGTCTGGCTGTGCGCCGACAGTGTGGAGCCTGCTTGGGATTCTCTCTCCACCCCCTTCCTCCCCCTCCTGCTCTTGCAAAATAAATAAACTTAAAAAAAAAAAAGATTTATTCCCTTTATATAAGTTTTCGCTATATAAAGTTCTTGGGAGACCAAATAACTGTGGTCCCCTTCCTTTAAGAGTGATGCAGTGTGCTAAAATCAACGCTTAGGGCCCAAAGTGAAGTTCAGTAGTTGTTGAAGCATCTAGTTGGAATCACCTGCAGCCCAACTTGGTGCAAAACACTGAGGCCTCCATCAAACACTTTCCTTGCTTCCTCCCTCCCTCCCTCTCTCACTCCTTTCTCCCCTCCTTCTTTCCTTTCTTTTTTGAAAACATTTGACACATCTCAGATCCCCACTCTGGCAGGCAACAATGTCAAGCCCCAAAAATTTCCACCAAGAAAACCAACTCTTTGATGTATATTTAGTACCTAAACGTACGTGTGTGTGTGTGTGTGTGTGTACTCTGTAGTCTAGAAGCCTGGCATGTTAGGAGATAATTGGGATTCCTTTGTGAATCAAAAACATTTGTCAGAAATGTGAAAAAACCTGATGGTTATGAGAGACACTGAACCACTGATGTCCAAACCAGACTGATTACCAGACTCACCTGGGATCTTGAGAAAATGCAGCACCCCCAACTCCCCAGAGTGCCCCTCTGCTGGATACTCTGAATCAGTGGGCTTAGGTAGGGCCAGGAATCTGTACTTTTAAAACAGCCAGAGGGGCGCCTGGGTGGCGCAGTCGGTTAAGCGTCCGACTTCAGCCAGGTCACGATCTCACGGTCCGTGAGTTCGAGCCCCGCGTCGGGCTCTGGGCTGATGGCTCAGAGCCTGGAGCCTGTTTCCGATTCTGTGTCTCCCTCTCTCTCTGCCCCTCCCCCGTTCATGCTCTGTCTCTCTCTGTCCCAAAAATAAATAAACGTTGAAAAAAAAAATTAAAAAAAAAAACAAAACAGCCAGAAAATCTAAAGTACATATTAGCCATTCCCAGTCCAAGTTCTCTGAATCCCAGCAATGATTTAGGAGACAGGATCTAAAACTACCTATCTGGGTTACATTATCCTAGCTTCTCGTAGAAATCAGGCTTAAGGAGCCTCCAGTCATTCCTGTCAACATGAGACATTGTGACAATTTCTATACCTTTCATAAAATTGGCTAAAAGCATCAACCAGCATTTATATAAGAATCCACATTATTCTTTTTCCTGAAAACAGAAGAGTTGGCTCCTCAGATGAACCTGGTGTTCCTTTTATCAAGTAAGAGCTATGCATCCCAAGGTATTTGTTTCCTGGCCTTCTCAGAAGCTCACAGATAAATTGTCCCATTTGGAAAATCATCCCATTTCAAAAGGCCTGCTGCATCTATTTCTGCCTTCTGATTTACAACCTTATTTGAAAATGTTAAATTATGTTTTTAACAAGTGTTTATAACCACATCTGCTTATTGCAGTGTAATGTAAGCAATCCAGGCATGGGACGATCCGATAGCTTTGAATTCTCCAAAACGTTCTAAAAGCCAACATATATGAAAAACAAAATTCTCAATTTTTGTTTGCTAAAGGAATTAGAAACCTGTTTAAGTTTAGTGCACTGATATCCAGGGAGGGGGTGAAGGGAGAAGGAGAGACGGAGACGGGAAGGGTGGGGAGTGGGAGAGTCACCTGGGGGAGGCTGGCAGCCTTGTCTTCTGCAAGGTTGCACAGGGCAGCACTCGTTTTGGAAAGTCCTTTGGTCTTGAAGACTCAGAAACCTGCTGTTAGCATGAGAGTGTCCATCTGTCATCTCGTCCCAACCAAGCTCCCAGACAAATATACACAGAATTCCAGTTAATTTGTAATGAGAAAATTGCCTTTGAGACACATGAGCCCACATGACTTGCTCATTCATGTCTAAATGCTTCCGGGTCTTTGCTCCATCCATGCTTTCCCATCGCGGATCCCACTGCTCCCCCTTTATGCCTCTGTTGTCAACTGTGAGTTTCTTTAGCTTCAATTCCCATTTCCCAGAGCTGCTCATCCAAAACTATTACCCGAAGCCCATTTTAAATGCCCTCTTCAAATTTCCTTTGAGCCCTTAAATCCGAAATAACCGCGTCCTCAGAACTGTAAGAGCACATTGTTCCTTATACACCACTTTTCACTTTATCTTTTTATTTTTTTTTTAATTTTTTTTTCAACGTTTATTTATTTTTGGGACAGAGAGAGACAGAGCATGAACGGGGGAGGGGCAGAGAGAGAGGGAGACACAGAATCGGAAACAGGCTCCAGGCTCCGAGCCATCAGCCCAGAGCCCGACGCGGGGCTCGAACTCACGGACCGCGAGATCGTGACCTGGCTGAAGTCGGACGCTTAACCGACTGCGCCACCCAGGCGCCCCTCACTTTATCTTTTTAAAATAATTATTTGTGTACGGGAGGCCAGAAGACCGTCTGCTTGAAACTCCAGAGATGGAGACAGGGCCTGATGCAGGTTACAGCTCTCAAATATTCGCCGTGAAAGAATACCAGTGACAGATGGGGTGGTCTTGGGCGGGTCTCAGAGTTATAGCCTGCCCACCAGTCGTACAGGGCCGTTCTTTTCCTTTAACCGGACTGTAAACTCCCTGAGAGTAAGTCTGAGTCAGTTTCGCTCTCCACTGCTTATCCAGCTCCGGCACAGGGTGCAGAGTCTAGCAGATGCTCAGTAAATGTTAAAAGAGTTAATCGAAAAGGGAAGAAATGAATGAATGAATGGGTCGATAACTCACCTATTCTTCCACCGATGCGTCGGTCGGACAGGTAATTAACTGAATTAGCAGCGGCCCAACGGGAATGCGAGGACTCCGCAGCTCTGGACCACCCTCTGCAGCCCGAGCAAGGGCGGGGCGCCACGTAATCCCGCCCACGCGAAGGCGGGGCTCCCCGAGAATCCCGCCTACAAAGAGGCGGGTCGTACCTAGAATCCCGCCCTCCCTGAGGCGGGGCCTGTGGCGCGCGGGAAGAAGCGTAAACGGCGGCGGGAGCTGGCTGTGCAGCCGACTGACCGCGTCCCTGCAGGTATTGCTTCCCTGGCGCCGGCTCCGGCGTCCCCACGGTCTCCCCGCGGGGCCGAGCGAGAGCGGGAGGGTCTCGCTGAGGGCGGGCCGCGGGGTCCCGGCACAGCTCCGGACGGCGTGCGTTTGCGCGCTCTGCGGCTCCCCGCCGCGGCGCCGTGCGGCCTCCTCCCCCCCAGGCCCGCTTTCGGCTTTCCGGCCGAGCGCTTGGTCCCGTGCGGCCTGGGAACGGGGCGGGGGGTGGGGGGATGTCCCCTCTGGTTCCCTCGCCTCGGTTTTCTACCCTGGGCGACCCTCTCCTCCTGGCGGCCCCAGCCGCCTGGGAAGTGGGTGTCTCTCGAAGCCCCCTGACCCCCCAAGCTGTCCACTTGCCCCGGCAGCTTCTCCCGGGAGGCCGCTAGCCCTGGGTAGCTCCTTCCGCCGCGCGACCCGGCCCCTGACTCTCCCCGAACGCCCTCCAACCCCCACTAAGCGGGGGCGGTCGCGCCGTAGGGTCGGCCCCTCGATTTCCTCTGCCTGGGTGTTCCATTTTGCTCTTTCCGGACCTAGCAGTAGAATAAACTTCCAACAGCCGCGGCTCAGCGAAGCATTTTAGGTGAACCTGCAAGGTGTTACATTAGAGGTCAACGCTAACATCCTTTCCCACCACAGCGTGCATTTTTAATGGTTAGCAGGGCTCCTGGCTCATAATAAGTGTTCAGTACACCTTTCCTGCTGTAATATTCAGTTCATTACCGACGATTTTCAGCTTTCCTCTGTCTTTGGGTAAAGAACGGTGCCCGACGGATTTGTGTTGCTCCATCAAGACTCGGGAGGATGAAAGTCATTACCTGCGAAATAGCCTGGCACAACAAGGAGCCGGTGTATAGCCTGGACTTCCAGCATGGCACCGCCGGGAGGATCCACAGACTGGCGTCGGCCGGTGTAGACACGGCAGTTAGGGTAAGTGGGGCGGAGAGAGAAAGGCCCTGAGAAGCACTACTGAGGGTGCATTCTCCATTCTTTTCTTTGAAACAAAAGTCAACAAACTCAAACCAATCCGTCATCTAGCCCAGAGGGATGAATTCTCAGGGCCTTGAGTGAACCATGAAAGCAAAAGAAAGCTTTGTTCCTTGAGTAATGTTTCCCAGATTGGTAAACGGGAGGCTCATTATTTTTAAGAATCCTGAGCCAGTTCCTGTTGGGGAACGGTTTGCAGGAGAAAGAGGAAGGAGGGAGGGCAGCAAGCCATGGGGTTGCTGGTTTATGTTTCAGAGCAAAGTTCCATTTTATGTTTCAAAAGAAAAACTATTTTCTTACTGAAACTAAGCACAGTGTTGTTTTAGTAAGCACAGATTGGTAAGTGCTCACTGTATGTTTCCCCGAATGAATGTTTTGGTATCAACAGATCTGGAAGGTGGAAAAAGGACCCGATGGAAAGGCCATTGTTGAATTTTTGTCCAATCTTGCCCGCCATACCAAAGCTGTCAATGTCGTGCGTTTTTCTCCGAATGGGGAAATTTTAGCATCAGGAGGAGATGGTGAGTACTAGTATTATCCTTCAAAATTCCTTAGAAACCAGATACCTATGTGTCTCACGTTAAACAGTGAGATTTGAGCTAGGTGTGATTAAAGAAAAATTTTTCTTTTAATGTTCATTTATTTTTGAAAGAGAGAAAGTGCAAGCGGAGGAGGGGCAGAGAGAGAGGGAGACACAGGATCTGAAGTGGGCTCCAGGCTCTGAGCTGTCAGCATAGAGCCCAACCCGACGCACAGCTCAAACTCACAAACGATGAGGTCATGACCTGAGCCAAAGTTGGACGCTTAACCGCCTGAGCCACGCAGGTGCTTCTGTACCACTTTTTCATTTTAGGGGTCATTTGACCTCAGTGTGTCATTTAGATAGCTCAGTAAAATAGCGTTCTGGGGAGCACGAGGGGATGGAAGACAGTAAGTTTAACCCGAAAAGACCTGTTTGACAATGGCCCCTCCCCAACTTTCGCCAGGATCCGCTGCCCGGTGGAGACAAGTAGGAAGGTGCCCACCATTTTGTCAGAGTCCCAACACACCTGTCCTGGCTTTGATTGCTAGTTTAGTATCTAAGTGATCACAGCCTTTCCCACATCTCTTTGTAATTAATTGATTCGCTGGGGCAGTATTGTCTGAATGATCCTCTAAATTATCTTTGTTTCCTGGGAATATATTGACTCCTATTTTCTGCTTGTGTTTACGTGGCATAAAGATTGCCTTGAATTTGTAGATTTATTTGGGATACGTTGCCATCTTCACAATATTAAATGTTAAACCCATAAAACTGGGACTTTTTCCTAAGCAGTTTACTAACTCGTTCTTCCTTTTTCCTTATGGTTTTACTAAAAAGTAAATTGTTTTCCCACGCTTTGACACCAGAACAGTCTACAAGTTAGTACAAAATAAGACAGAAATCACAGACTTTGCAGGAGGAGGAAAGACACCTGGTTAAGTTCAGTGCCACGGTGTCCAGGGTGTTTGTGTACAGAGGGAAAGGTGGGAAGTGGGGACTGTCCCTGGGGGAGGCTGACAGGCTGTCTTCTGAGAGGGTGTACAGGGCAGCACTTGTTGGGCAAAGCCCTTTGGCTTTGGGGGCCCAGAAACCTGTTAACGGTGGAGAGCGTCCACTTGTCAGTGTCAAGGGTGATCTCCTTTCCACCAAGCTCCTGGGATTCCGGTGCACTTGGAGTGAGAACACGTGTGCCCACACAGCTGGTGCGCTCATTGTCCTACTGGCATTCAGAGGGAGGCCAAGAGGTGCTCAGGCTTAGGTGGTGAGTTTGGGGTCAGAGCACAAGGGCTTATAGCACTCAGACAATTGATGACGTCAGGCCAAGATACCTGCTGCATCCGTATGTGTAGCTAATGTGTCCGTGGCTTACTTTGTGCAAGGCATTGTGTTATAAGTGCTTTATGCATATTAACTCATTTAATCCTTGAGACAGCCCTATGAGATAGGTATGCGGTTACCCCCATTTTACAGGTCAAGTGACTGAGGAGTCAAGATGCTAAGTCCTGCTGAAGGTTACACAGGAACCATTTGCCAGTCCTTGCTGGTGGCTCTTTGTGGCTCTTTGTTTTTTCCTATTCAGCCATTCATAGGTTATGCCTTAGGATTTTAGAGGTTGGTTTTTTGTTGGTTTTTTTTTGGTTTATCTTATTTGAGAGAGAGGGACAGTGTGCACGAGCAGGGAAGGGGCAGAGAGTAAGGGAGAGAGAGAATCCCAAGCTGGCTGTGCACTGTCAGTGCAGAGCCCAATGAGGGGCTCCAACTCATGAACCGTGAGATCACGACCTGAGCTGAAACCAAGAGTCGGACGATTAACCCACTGAGCCACCCAGGCGCCCCAGATTCTGGAGTTTTAGATCAGAAGACAAACCTGTTTTTCCTGTCGAAATTCTTAGAAGTCCGTCATTGTGACCGTACTGTCTATTGAACAACATAAATAGGACTTCAAGCCCTAAAAGCCCAGAAATGAAGGAGCATACAAAAAGCGTGGCTTATCTTTCACTGAATCACTCCACAGATGCCGTCATCCTGTTGTGGAAGGTGAATGATAATAAGGAGCCAGAACAGATTGCTTTTCAGGATGATGATGAGGCCCAGCTGAACAAGGAGAATTGGACTGTCGTAAAAACCCTGAGGTAACTTGGACAGGGACCATGGGAGTGCCTTATCTAACTGCTCTGAGAGCATTAAACTCACATGCATTTTTTTATTAAAAAAAAAAAAAAAATGTTCTTTTGAGTAAGCTCTATGCCCAACATGGGGCTTGAACTCACAGCCCTGAGATCAAGAGTCCTATGCTTTACTGACTGAGCCAATCCAGGCGCCCTGCATTTTGACTTATATCTTACTTAAACCTTTTACTTACACAAGGCAGAGATAAGAGAATCATTTTAAAAGCTAGAAACATGATTAAAATGGATTTTATTTCTGCTGTAAAATTTTCTTTAGTCAGATTGAATCAATTACAAAGATACAAGTACCTCTGAAGGTGGTAGATTATAGCTGCAGCTAATAGAGTTCCAGTGGAAATTTCTAAAATCCTATTTTTTAAAATATTTTTTTAAACTTTGAGAGACAGAGTACGAGCAGGGGAGGGGCAGAGAGAGAGAGAGAGAGAGAGAGAAAGAATCCCAAGGAGGTTCCACACTGCCAGCGCAGAGCCCAACATGGAGCTCAAACCCATGAAACCGTGAGACCATGACCTGAGCTGAAACCAAGAGTCCGTTGAGCCACCCAGGAGCCCCCCCTAAAATCCTATTCTCGTGTATGGTCTCTGAGTTTGCTTACAAGTTTTTGATGTTTTTTTCTTTTTCTTCTTTGGATTGTAGAGGCCACTTGGAAGATGTGTACGATATTTGCTGGGCAACTGACGGGAATCTAATGGCTTCTGCCTCTGTGGATAACACGGCCATCATATGGGATGTCAGTAAAGGTAGCCAATACGTTTCTGTTCTTGTCAGGGGGAAGGACTTTCTAAGGGTCTAAAAAGCTAACCTACTTGACCTTTCATGGCATAAGAGTTTCTTTAGTGAACTAAAATAGGTATTTGGCTCAGTAGGGTAGGGATTAGCCTCCTGTATCATGGATCCAACTCAGAGTGGTCACGTGTATGAGGTTTTCTGAGTTACTGGTGCCAAAGCAAGGTCCATCCCACATGCTTGGGGGTGTAGACATGTTGGGGGCAGGGCTAATGCCTGCCTTTGCAGAACTTAGGATCTCAGGAAGTTTAGCACGTCGTCATGATGGGGCATTGAATGGTCAGTGTTGGGAGAGGTAGGAGCTGGCATCCGTTTGAGGAGACAGAGGACAGCCGAGGACACCTCACTGCTTTTACAGGACCTGTTTTCTGTTTGCAGAGACAGGAGACACGTGAGAAGTTATAAAAATTGCCGTGAAATGCTTTGCCTGCCCTTTTTGCAGGCTGCGGATTCTCCCCCAGCCTGAGGGCCCTGGTGGGGGAGTCAGGGCGGAGTGGGCATTCCACCACGCTGCCTGCCCATCCGGTTTATCCACTCAGTGACAGTCTCTGTCCGCTTTAGGTCCCTGCCACCTGCCATCCAGTCAGACCCCCTCTGTCTCACCTCACCTCTGTCATGTTCTACCCAGTCCCTGACTTGGGCAGAATCGAGGGCTGGCGTCCCTGTCTTCTTCTCTTCCCCACATCTGGCCATTGCCCTGGATAATTTCACCGTGTGCGTGGACAGTCCACCCAGCAGCCCCCTGAAGCCAGTTGTAATGACCTTGAACGTTGCCGGGTCTTGATATCCTCCATGATCGTGGCTGCCATCTAACGGGGTGTTAGTAATGATGGCGCTGGGAAGGGGCCGCAGAGTGAAAGGCTGATCGGAGAAGGTTGCTCCAAGACTTGAATGCGGGAGGGAAGAGGCTCCAGCCTGTGGGAGCAGCCAGTGCAGAGGCCCTGCGGGGAGCTGCTTGTGAGGCAGGACAGGTCCCGCAGAAAGTCCCTCTTCAGAAAACCCTACTCACACACTGACCTAATGATAGCAGTTGTGGGTTAAAAAGCCTCTTGTGGGGCACTTGGGTGGCTCAGTCGGTTAAGTGTCCCCAACTCTTGATTTCAGCTCAGGTCATGATCTCATGGTTCATGAGATCGAGTCCCATGTTGGGCTCTGCGTTCACAGGGCAGAGCCTGCTTGGGACTTTCTCCCTCTCTTCCTGCTCCTCCCCTGCTCATGCTCTCTCTCCCTCAAAATAAATAAACTTTAAAAAGAGGGGCACCTGGGTGGCTCAGTCATTTGGGCCTCTGACTTTGGCTCGGGTCATGATCTTGCACTCTGTGAGTTTGAGCCCCACATCGGGCTCTGTGCTGACAGCTCAGAGCTTGGAGCCTGCTTCGGATTCTGTGTCTCTTTCTCTCTCTGCCTCTCCGCCTCTCATGCTCTCTCTCGCTCGCTCTCTCTCTCAAAAATAAATAAACATTAAAAAAATTTAAAAAAAAAGCCTCCGTTGTAAAACTCAGGGTCGTTTGAGAAGATGCTGTCACTCGGCTGCAGGCCACCTTACTCTCACAGACCCCCAAAAACACTGGCAAGAAGGCGAGGGGGAAGGAAAGTTAGCCTGAAGCACCCTCGCTGCATTTCACATGGAGGGCGGGTCCCAGGGTCACAGGAGTGTAGACCCCTCTGCAGAGAAGAGCCATTTGAGTTGTTTTTGTTTGGTTGGTTTTTTTTTATTTAAAAAAAATTTTTTTTTTCCCAACGTTTATTTATTTTTGGGACAGAGAGAGACAGAGCATGAACGGGGGAGAGGCAGAGAGAGAGGGAGACACAGAATCGGAAACAGGCTCCAGGCTCTGAGCCATCAGCCCAGAGCCCGACGCGGGGCTCGAACTCACGGACCGCAAGATCGTGACCTGGCTGAAGTCGGACGCTTAACCGACTGCGCCACCCAGGCGCCCCTTGTTTGGTTGGTTTTTAAGAATGGCCAGGGTTCCGTAACTGCCTCTGCATTTTATCTGGGTAATCTTTGTGTGCTGCTGGTTTTCTCTCTTTCCACAGTCCCTTTTCCATCACTACTGGCTTTGCCCGGCCCTTGCCTCCCGCCTGGCCTGCTGTCCCCTCCTAACTAGTGGTACTTCCTATGTCCTCTGTGACCCTCAGTCTTGTCTTCACGATGCAGGTCACTTCCCAGCCGAGTGTTCCTCTTGGCCGCACCTCGAATTCCCAGAACCTTTTCCTGATACATGAGGGTCGCTGTCACATACCTCCTGTCCTCGTCTTGCCGTTTTGGCATTGGACCTCACCCTGTAGACTTCTCAGTGACCCGTTGTTCCGTGTGCTGAGGATTGGCTTACAAAACCTCCTTCATAGCCCCCCTCACCCTGCCCTGTAGGGAGAGCTGACCTCAGCTCGTGCCTTGCCGACCCTCACCGTGGCCTCTTAGCTGCCCCGTCTATACCATGCTCAGCTGGCTTGCCTTTTGATGGTGTGTCCCCCCCCCCCCCCAAAGCAGCAGGCTCCTGGGGAGTGTGGGCCATGTAAAGTCCCCTTTTTCCCCCAAGAGCCTGACACGGCGCCTGCTAAATGACAGGAGGGTATGAAGGGCACAATACTTAAACTGTACTTTATTCTGCTTGTGCTCCAGTAGGCTTTAGTAAAGCTGTCATGTGCTTTATTCGCAGGACAGAAGATCTCTATCTTTAATGAACATAAAAGTTACGTCCAAGGAGTAACCTGGGACCCCTTGGGTCAGTATGTTGCCACCCTGAGCTGTGACAGGTACGTCAGGATTTGGCAAGTTGTCTTCTCTGCTGGCTTGAAATTTCCTGCAGAGGGATTTTCATCACCATTTACCGATCTGAAGCCCGGTCTAGCTTTGCTTCTTGTTCTTGGTTTCATGTCAAGCATTTGGTTTTACTGTTACTCTTCCACCGTAACGTGAAAGTGGAAACTAATTAGGGCAAGTGCCTTATATGTAGTACTTAGCAAATCTTTATTGAATGGGTGAATGAATGTAGAGGGAGTTTTGAATGGCATTTGAATTTCACGGACAACATTTGCTTATTGTAAGTGAGCAAGAGGCAAGGCAAGAGGGAGAGAGAGAATCTTGTGAGAGGCAGAAAGAGAGAGAAGCGGGGCTCGTTCACAGGCACCGTTTAAAAAAAGTCTTTTATAAATACGACTTCTGTAAAAAGGGGTTGCTAGTGGTTGGGTTGGAATTTTCCCTTCCCCTTCCCTTCCCTCCTCCTTTCTTTCTTTAAAAAAGAAAAAAATTTAACATTTATTTTTGAGAGGCAGAGCATGAGCCGGGGAGGGTCAGAGAGCGAGAGAAACAGAATCTGAAACAGGCTCCAGGCTCTGAGCTGTCAGCACAGAGCCTGACACGGGGCTGAAACCCATGAACTGCGACATCGTGACCTGAGCCAAAGTTGGACACGTAACCGACTGAGCCACCCAGGCGCCCCTGTTTATTTATTTTTTTAGGTTTGTTTATTTTGAGAGAGAAAGAGAGGGGGAATCTCAAGCAGGTTCTGTGCTAACGTGAGGCTCAAACTCACAACCATGAGATCATGACCTGAGCCGAAATCGAGAGTGGGACGCTTAACTGACTGAGCCATCCAGGTGTCCCTGGGTGTTTCTTGTTTGTTTGTTTGTTTTTAAAGATTTTATTTATAAGTAATCTCTACACCCACCGCAGGGCTTGAACTCACAACCCTGAGATCAAGAGTCTCCTGCCCCACCAACTGAGCCAGCCAGGCATCTTTCTTTCATTTTTTGATTATAGTTTACTACTGCAGTCATTTCAATGACTCCATTTAAGTTAATGTAAAAATAGAATATTTCGTCTTTCCCGAAAGAAGGTTTGTTGTGGTGTTTACTGGCATCATTCATTTAATCGTATTCTTGGAACAAAGAACTAAGAATCTGAGGTGGTGGGTGTACTACTCATCAGTCAAGGTCATCCTTTTGAGTATTTTTCCAACTTCTTTTAATCATAACATGTTTGATTTCAGACGGCCCAGCAGTGTGGACGAGTTAGTGTTTTTGAATCGAAGCATCTCCTGTTACATTCCACGTACATTTATTTTCTGATCTGTATGTTTTATTCGGGCAGTTGGGAGTGAAATGACTTGATTAGCTAGTGGGAATAATACGAATTAGCAAGAAGCAAATTTATCTGTTGGTGTTTTCCTGACTTGCAAATCCCTGAGGGTGAGACCGTTCGATACAAGAGAAATGTCACTGCAGTCCTACAAACTGTCCCTGGGCCAAGTGTCAAGGCCTGAAAAGGCGAGGCCTGATGAGCATCTTACTTGACAAGTTGAAACACTCGATAAAAAGTGAAGTTCTGGTCCGTTTCCTCACTTCATTGGTGACCTCCTCTGGGTGGTTTGCTTCTGTCATAATGAGTCAAGTGGGACAGTCATAAATGGTCTCGGAGGCTGACCTGGTCTAATCGGCCTGCAGTTTTGATGCTAGATTGTTTCTGTGTGGAACACTTTGTTCACTAGAAGAGATCAGTCAGAATGTTTTTCTTTCTTTAGGATCCTCAGGGTGTACAGCACCCAGAAGAAACGTGTGGCTTTTAATGTCTCAAAGATGCTGTCTGGAATAGGGGCCGAAGGAGAGGTATGAAGTGTTGACTTTCTGTGTTAGCAGTGCTTCAGGAAGTCACGAGCTCCTCCGTGTCCTACAGCTAAGTCCCTGGTCTCAGGCACCTGACGCTTGAACTACCGTGCGCTTCCTCAGGTCCAGCCAAGGCTCAGTTAGTGTGTTGGGCTGGTCTGCATGGAAATGGGGACATCCGGGGGCCAGGGGAGAGCTGCCGATGGTGGGTAGAGGCGTCCAACCCCAGCTCACTGTGGAGTCGCCTGGAAGCATTAAGAGACATGTGTGCCTGCCCCCCATCCCCCAGGCGTGTGTGATTCGCTTGGCTTGAGGTAGGCAGGGCCTCTGGGATTCTGAGGTGTAGGGAGAGTCACGAGCGTCTGACCGAGGGGGACCCGGCACTATGCCGCAGGAAGGTGGCAGCGGGCAGTAGGCCGTCTTGGCAGGTTTAGAGCGAATGCTGCCTGCAGGACTGTGGGGACCCAGCCAGCGGTCCTAGAGGAATCAAGACCATGGAGGCAGGCACTTAGACAAAAGGGAGCAGGTTGGTCACTGGAACCAAAAAGGGATGCGGTGCAAACCTGGGCCTCAAGCAGCTGGCGGGGCCAAGCCGGCCACAAGCTGACAAAATGGGGAGCTCATGTACAGTAAGGAGGGTAACGCTGGGTCTTTGGGTCCTTGAGACTTAAATGCTTCATGTTTATCCAGTGGCAGTGAGTGGGAGCAAAAACCGTTCCACGCAGGTGTTCGAGAAAGGCTTGAAAAGATGGGATTACCAGTTTAAGAGCGGACTAGTTTATAAGAGGTGTTCATTAAGTTGGAAATTCTAAGTGGACGCACACATCATCCTGCTTTTCTCCCCGGTCTCATTGTCCAGACACACCGCTCTTGACAGTGCACGGTGTTCTCACGGAGGCTTTTTAAAAAGAGAACTGTAGAACCACACACATGCACATAGACCTGTATGCACATACGATTTTCTGTAACGCAGGTGGGCAGTTAATCTTTGTGAGCGATCACTCTTGCAGTCTGGAGTGATTTGATTTGTAACATATTTCCCCTGTTACGCGAGTGTAATAAATGACACTATATAAAGACAGAAAAAAAAAAGGAACTGGTAAACCGTTATTGTGAATGTAAAGATTTGGATTAAAAAAAAAAAGATTTGGATTAATGTTTAAACTTGTGTGCCACAGGTCAGAAGTTACCGGATGTTTCACGACGACAGCATGAAGTCATTCTTCCGTAGACTCAGTTTTACCCCTGATGGGTCTTTGCTCCTCACACCAGGTGGGTTTGACAAGCTTCCGATTTGAGGCGTGATGGCCGCGGTGGGTGATTCCAGTTGCCGCTTGTCAGCTCAGTGAATCCTGATTAAAATAGCGACCCCCCAGCTTGTTCAGACATTGAAACCTCCAGGGGAGCTTCAGGAAGCACTGGTCCCCGGGTTCCACTCCCAGAGACGGTCTGATTGGTCCGGGGTGTGTGTGGTCTAGGTTTTGGAATTTAAAAAATTTCCAAGTAGTTCTGATGTGCAGAGAAGTTGGGGAGCCACTAGGCTAGTGTGACAGACATTTTGCTCTTAGATTTAACTTAAAAAAATGTTAATGTCTTTTCACTAGGCATGTATGTAGAGGTCATAGTGCTAAAGCTAAAAGAGGTTTATTGTTTCTATTCTCAGTGAAGCAGTCTATTGTGGCAGGGACAAGTTTGGTTGGAATAACTTGAGTATGAGGAAACCGCAGAATCAGCAAGAACAAGACAGGTTCATTGTCTATAGGAAGGCATGATGTTAAGCCCAGCAGCGTCAGCCGGGGCACTGATTGCCAGGGTGTTCTTAGAAGAATGTCTTCTGCTCTCCGTGGCTCGGGTCCCATCTTTTGTATGAAGGCGATCACCTAATGCAGGGCTGGCCCAAACAGGAGGGCACAGGTCAGGTTGGCCGCTAAGTATTCCAGCCCGGTTGGGCAGAGGAGGCCTGAGAGGGTGTGAATTGTACATGCATACTTGTGATGCCTTAGGACATTGGGGATCATGTGGGAGTGACATTGGCCTGGGGAGGGGGTGTCTCAGGATCAGCAACAGGTGGTTGCTAAGTATATTAAAAGTTGCTTACTAAACTCAGTGACAAATCTTTACTAAATGACCACTCTAAAAATATTGTGTTAGAATCAGGTATCAGATGGATGTCTGCTTTTGTCATTATTATTCTTGGTGGTGTTAATACATGCAGGAAGAAGAGAGAATGAAATTACAAAGATTGGAAAGAAGAAACCTTGGTGTTAGGATTATGTTTCTAGAAAATCCAAGAGATTTAAAAATATCAGAATAAAAAAATCTGATAAGGTGGCTGGATACTATCTATGAAATACTTAAAAATCTTCTATACTGGAATATGCACTTAGAAATATAAAAAGAAAAATTATTCCATTCATAATGCAAACCCCACAAAACATGGGAAAAAAATTTAATAAAGGCACAAAGCCTTTATGAAGACTAGAAGATCTTATTGAAGATTGTAAAACAAGTTCTGAACGAATAGAGATCTCAAGTTCTAAAAATTAACATACGCATTGATTTCCAATTAGGATCCTATTAGAGGCTTTTGGTTTACTTTTAGTTGGACAGCATGCCAGCTCTGTTAGGAGAATAAATGCTGAAGAATAGATTTAATTTTTTTTAAGTTTATTATTTTTGAGAGAGAGCATGAGCAGGGGAGGGGCAGAGAGAGAGGGAGAGAGAGAGTCCCCAGGTGACGTCACACAGTCAGCATGGAGCCTGATGAGAGGCTTGAACTTAGAAACTGAGAGATTGTGAACTGAGCCAAAACTAAGAGACGCTTAACCAACTGAACCACCCAGGCGCCCCAAGAATAGATTTAAAAGTATGAAAAATAGGAATACTTGAGCAGGCACTTTCCTAAATGTCAGCAGATACTACGGTGCCACTGTTATCAAATCAATATGGTTATTGGTATAGGAATAAACAGATTAGTAAACCAGAACAGAAAATCCAGAAATAGATCCTGAGATAAGAAAATCTGATATAGTGGGAAGAATGAATTATTGAGTGAATGGTGCTAGAGTGTCCAGCTGTCTGGAAGAAAATTCTATTGGACTTTTAACTTACGTATGAAAATAAATTCCGGGTGAAGTCAATACTTAAATCTAAAAGGTGAAAACGTAGGAGGACATCCTAGGGCCAGGGAAGACAGACGGAGACAGGAATCCTGGAAGCTCTGGAACGATGGGCCTGTTTGCGTTTGACGGTGAACTTTTGTATGGTGGAGGCCCAGTAAGCGAAATCAGTCAGCAAGTGATGGAACTGGAAAACACCGTTTACGAGACAGGAAAGAGAGAGCTTACGTGGGTCACGTTCAGCGGCTCTTCCAAATCGATGAGAGAAAAAGAAAAACCCAGAAAAAAAAGATGAGTGAAAGAAACAAGAAGGCAGTTTGCAGAGGAGCAAATTCACGTGTTCAGCACCCACAGGGAAAGGTTTGGACCCTCAGTGATAGAGAAATACAAAATAAAGTGACCTACGATTAGGGATTTCTTTATTCTCTTCAGACTAGACAAAAGTGCAAATCTCCCTGGCTGATGGGCATGCAGAATGTGGGTATTGCTGCAGGAACATGAATTGTTACAGCCAGTTTAGAAAACAGTCTGGAAACCGTTAAATACATGTACCTTTCAGCCCATCTGTCCCCACCCCCCACCGTCTTCGACTCCGTCTTTAAGAAATGAAAACCTAGTACATAAAGGTATATCTTCCGCGATATTTATTGCAAGTATGGCTTCTAGTCCTGAAGAATAATACCGATGAACAAGACGGGTAGATGAATTACAGCATTTTCATGCCAGTGAACATGGAGCAGCTAGTGAAGATACATCATCCAAGTTAGCTTTCGCGGGTGGTTGACCGAACAGAGCAACAGAAACGAAGGTATAAACGAGATCCTGTTTTTGTGAACTAGGCTAAAAGCCCCACCCTCTGAATATATACGCGATGGAGTTGTAACTGGGTGTTGGTTGTGCGAGCAAAGAGGAAAGAGGACACAGTGGTTTGTTCAGATGGCGGATGTGGGGCTGGAAGGGTGGGCTGAGTCGAAGAGACTACTTGACGGAGTCTCTGTCCACCCTTCCCCACCCCCCAGCGGAGACGAAATGGTCACATGTGAAATGACGTGTGTGTGTATCAGGAAAGATACTGCTGTATGGTTGACAGTCATTCTGTGGCCAGGTCTGGCCTGGTTGTAAGGTCATCCCAGGGTGAGTGTGTGGAAGAGCTCAAACATGGGCTCCCCCCAGAGCAAGGTCAGCTACTTCATGGGTTGGGGGTGCAGTGGAGGCCTGGGTCTCCCAGCAGCCTCCTGGCCTCATCAGGCTGGTGGGAAAGGCTAGTGGCAGGCCCTGGCTGGCAGCCAAGCTCAAATCCAGCAGACACAGTGGGGTGATACAGTGAGAGCGCTTCTCCAGCAGGAAGTGACTGGCCTCCCAGACGGAGGCCTGCCCGGTTCTTCCTGCCCGGGCCTGAAGCCCCCCCCCGAGCAGGTGGGCCGCTCAGGGGGATGTGACAGGTGGGTAGAGCTGGAATAAGAGCTGAGCCCAGCCTGGGACCGTGTGTATTTGTCCTCAGTCACAAAAACACTGTCCAGGGCACATGGCTATGGGGAGAAATGTTTTACAGGCCAGGGTTGGATGCTCTTGAGTGTGTCTTCTTTCGTCTAATAAAACCTCAGCTCTCTCTCTCTCTTCCTGCTTCCCCAGCTGGATGTGTGGAGTCTGGAGAAAATGTAACAAATACCACCTATGTTTTCTCCAGGAAGAATCTTAAAAGGTATGCAGTGGAAGAAATCGTTGAAATGTTTACCCTTTGTTTTTGGTGAGTAACGGTGCCCTTTTCTAAGAAGGTCATGACCGATCTTTTAGGCCCATCGCTCACCTTCCCTGTCCTGGCAAAGCGACGCTTGCAGTTCGCTGCTGTCCTGTCTACTTTGAGTTGAGGCCGGTGGTGGAAACAGGTACGTTAGAGCCATGGTGGTTGTGTTAGGTCTTCGCCGAGGCAGGTCACCAGGCTGCGGGGGTTGTGATGTGGGCTTTCTCCCGTGGGGGGCACAGCTCTGTGGGTTTGGTGCGGTTGAGTTACCGTGAAGAGCAGGAGCAAAGCCCGAGGTTATCAAAATTGTCCAGTGTTCATCCTGTCTAGAATATGCTGTCTTCGCTTCACCTTTAAAGGAATGAGAGTAATTTTTTTTAATCCAGAGCAGATTGAAGGTCGTTCAGTATCCGTTTCCTATGTAGTAAAATTTTTTTTTAGTTTTTTTTTTCCCTCAAGGTTTTTCTCATTATCAGGGGCTTTAGTCGGATTCTGATGGGCCTTGGTGTAATTTTCTCAGGTTTCTTGTGCTTGGGGTTCATTGAGCTCTTAGATCTATGGGTTTATAGTTTTCATCACCTTTGGGGAATTTCAGCCGTTACAGTGTCAGATGTCTTTTCTGTCACCCCCCTTCCTGCCCACAAGGGGCTCCACTTACATGCGCGTTAGGCCATTTGAGGTTAGTCCCGGGTTTACTGATGATCTGCTTGCTTTTTTCCTTCTCAGTACTTCCGTTTTCTGTACTCTGTGTCCCATGTCTCTACTTAACACACTCCATCCTTCCTCCTCTTGAACATGTAGGATAGTTTTTGTAATAACTTTTAATGACTTTGTGTACAAAGGATTTGTTTTGATTTTTTTTTTCCTTCATTGTGGGTCATATTTTCTTTGCATGTCTAGTAATTTTTCATTAGATGCCGGACATTGTGAATTTTACCTCCGTGGATGCTGGGTATATTTTCATAAATATTCTTGAGCTTTGTTCTGGGAGGCAGTGAAGTTACTCGGAGACACCGTGCCGCTTATCCTCGTTCAGTGGGACCACGGCAGCATGTGGTCCAGAGCTAATTTCCCCACTGCAGAAGCAGAGCCGCCTGAGTAATCGGTGCCCCGTGAAATAGGTTTCCCACTCTGGGTGGAGGAACACGCTCTGTCTGGCCTTGCGTGAGCTTCGGGAATGACTCTCTCTTTCCTGTAGTTCTTGCTCTGGCCTCGGGTGGTTTCCTCACTTGCAAGTGCTGATCAGGGCTCAGCTGGAGACCTGAGAGGGCCTGTAGGTCTGTGCCTGTGAACTCCGGCTGCCCGGGCCTCCCTGCTTCATCCTCTACCTCTCCCTCTCCCGGGCCTGGCAGCTCCAGGCAGCAAGCTGGATGTAGGATTTCCTCCTTGACTTCCCATCCCTCAGAGAACACTGTCTTCAGTGCCTGATGGTCAGAAGTCTTGGAAAACATTATTTTGTAGATTTTGCCTGGTATTTCAGTTGCTTCAGGTGGGAGGGTAAGTCAGGTCCCTCTTCCTCCAACGCTGGAAGCAGCTGTTTTAAGCTTTTTAATCCTTTCATGTGAATGAATGTAATTACCTGGAAGCTTGAAATCACCTTAATAAAATGTTTCTAGGTTACCCTTATTTTTCCTATCAGAAAGGACTTGTTCTATTCACAGGTTTTTTTGTTTTGTACCCCCACCTTTTTGGACCTTGGGTGCCCCTGAGTCTTGGATCAGGACACGGTGTCCTCATCAGGTCACGTGTGGTTGTCCTTTATTCCCATATAAATTAAAGGACTGATTTTTTTTTTTTGTAAAGCACACAGCAAACTAGCCTTCAGTAAAATGATGTCATTTCCGTCTCCTGAGAGAGGGCTTTTGGGAATTTGTTTCCTCTGACTTCTGTTTTCCGCCCTTTGTCCCTGTTTTCACCCGAGCAGACAGAGCGTCACAGGAGCCGGGCACGGAGCTGGTGCACCTGCCCTACCGCCTGGTGTTTGCTGTGGCTTCTGAAGACTCTGTGCTCTTGTATGACACCCAGCAGCCGTTCCCTTTTGGCTACGTGTCTAACATACATTACCACACCCTGAGTGATGTCTCCTGGTGAGTGGCCGGTGGTGAGGGAGGGTGGGCCTGGAGTAGAGCCTTGGGGCAGGGAGCATTCCAGCGCTACAGGTGGCTTTTTTGGCCGGTGTTTACCAATTCTTTTTCTTTTTTTTTAATTATTTTTTTTAACTTTTTTTTTTTTAAGTTTATTTAAAACTATTTTTTTTCTGGGGTGCCTGGGTGGCTCAGTTAGTTAAGAATCTGACTTTGGCTCAGGTCATGATCTTGTGGTCCGTGAGTTCGAGCCCCACATCGGGCTCTGTGCTGACGGCTCAGAGCCTGGAGCCTGCTTCAGATTCTGTGTCTCCCTCTCTCTGCACGCTCCCCTGCTGGCTCTCAGTCTTTCTCAAAAATAAACCCTAAAAAAAATGTTTTTTTTTAACTTTTTTTCTAAGTTTATTTATTTTCAGAGAGGGAGAGCGAGCACGCATGCATGCCCATGCAAATGGGGGCGGGAGACAGAGAATCCCAAGCAGGCTGCAGCGGAGCCCTGATGTGAGCGGGGCTCAAACTCATGAACCTCAAGATCGTGACCTGAGCTGAAGTCAGATGCTTGACAGACTGAGCCACCCCGGCACCTCTTACCAATTCTTTTTAAAGGAAAGCCGTTTCTAATTTGCAATAATACTGCTTCCTATTGTAACAGAAACATCTGAATGATGCCATTCAGTTGCCCCAGGGGTTCCTCTGATTCTCAGACTGAGGGAGGGGGTACCCGTTGGGCTCCCTGCTTGTTGGGGGCTTGCCAGGCCCTCTGGGCTTGCAGGAAGCCCGCACCCATGAACTCCTGGCACCCAGAACTGCACCCAGGGAGTCACCTTGTGCTCCGCCTCCTGCCGGTGGGGTCTTCCGAGCCCCTGGGTTCCTGATTTGTGCCCAGCTCTGCCTGGGCCTGCTCCCCCACCGTCTCTTCCTTGCTCTTTACAGCCTTTTTTCTCCTTTTCGTTTTATCTTGGGGGGAGAAAAACCAAAAAAAGGAAAGGTCCTCACACTTTCATCCAGGTGAATTCAATGACAGTCCTGAGATACTGTGGTGCCTGGGAAACCAACCACCCAAAGCCTATGATTTTGCTTGAACTGCCATGGTGTCACTAGTCATGAGAGCCTGACGAGGGGCCCAGAGACTTGGGTTCGGTTTCTAACCTTTTGTCCTGTTTGGGGAACAAAGGTCCAGCGATGGGGCCTTCCTGGCCATTTCTTCCACGGATGGCTACTGTTCGTTTGTGACATTCGAGAAGGATGAACTTGGAACACCTTTGAAAGAGAAGCCGGTTTTAAGCGTGGGAACTCCCGATACAGCAAAGAAAACGAAGAGTCAGCCACACCAGGGGTCTTCGCCAGGCCCCAGGCTAGTAGAGGGGACCCCCAGCAGCCCCTGCACACCCCCGCCTCAGGCAAGACCGTCTCCAGCCCCAGCAGCGCCTTCCGAGGAGAAGAAGGCCCTGCAGCCCAGCACGCAGAATCCCAAAGCACCCCCATCCCGGAGGGTCACTCTGAACACGCTGCAGGCCTGGAGCAAGACAACACCCCGGTAAGAACCTCCGATGGAAGAAGAAATCGTCACTGCGGTTTGCCAACAGGAAGCCACCAACCTTTAATGGGGGAAATGCCATAAGTACTTCACACTGCTGCCGGAGACCTTGCTAACCGTGACCTCCGCTGCGTCCCCACTTCTGCCTCTCAGGCCGGCTCCAGACCCCTGTGCGCGGCCTATAGACAGTTGGCCACAGCCTGCCCTCTGGGGCCGTTCCCACTGGCCCTGCCTCACCCTTTGTACCGTAATCTCTAGTTTGCCCCTGGAGGCCAGGGCCCTGAGCACACTCTGCCCTAGGGGCCTCTCTGCCCTTACCTTCCTCCGGGAGCCCCAGCCATCTGCGTCCCTGGTGACACTGGAGTCTCCCTGGATGTCCCTGCAGCCCTTCCTCTGTCATAACATATCACATTCAGTAGCAGGAGTTTGGTTAGGCTTCTGTTTTCCCTGTTAGGTTATCAGCCCCTTAAGGCAGGAAGCGGCTCCCCAGTCATCACCTGTTTTCTCCTGCCCAGAACAGTCATGGGCACTGAGCAGCAGGCGGGAAAATGAAAGGAACACCTTTAGGCACTTTTCACTGCATCTGTGGACTGGCTCATGGTAAGCAGTGTCTGGTCTGATCGTGTCCCCGGGTGATGCTGCAGGTGTCTCCCTTTTCACGTCACTCTGGCTCCTGAGCCCGCCTTAGTTCCCCGCCGGTGCTGCAGACAGAGCCCTTCTGTTGTGCACGGCAGCTGGGGTCCAGGGGTCTTCCTAGGACTGGAAGTCCCCCGTCTGACTCTGTGGGAGTCCTGGGGAGGGAGCAGATGACAAGCACCACGTGTCTCGCTTCCTCTGCCCTGCCCGGGACTTCACTCGCCAGTCTGTAATCTGGATTACATGTAGCGTTCGGCTCTTCTCGGGTGTCTGAGTTCTGCAGACTAGCAACGTTTTTTTTGTTTTTCTGTGTTTTTTGGTGGAGGAAGGGAGTGGGAAGGTGTTCTTTCAAATACTCTTATGAAACCTTTCCCCTCTTAATTTCTTGGAGTCGTCTTCTGTTGTAACTTAAAAAAAAATAGTTGTTGAAAAATAAGATTGGATTTTAAACAAGAACTGTGTTTCAGAGCTTTCCGTAGTAGAAACCATTGTCAGCTAGCCTTATATATGTGGTGTCCAGTGATGTGTTCAGCATACCACTGCAGATCAACAAAACACGGGTTTTGAAACTTTTAGGTGACTAGCGATTGACTATCATAAGCCTAATGGTTGAACTTAGTACATGAACATAGTCCTTAGTTACTAAGTGGGCACATTGACATTTAATGTCTACATGGTATGATTAGCTGAAAATTTTTAATGTTTCTTTTGGGTAGTTTTGAAATTTGGCATCATCATAAATGATTCTTAGGATACTAATGAACCTTGTACCTCTTTCCTACTTTTTTTTTTAATTAAGGAGGATAAATTTACTACCCTTAAAGACAGAGACTCCACCAAATTCTGTACCAATTAGTATAATCTCCACCCCTTCCACAGAAGAAACTGAACCAGGTAAGTGATGCTGTTATTTTAATAGAATTCAAGATATTCTTTCTCTTTTGTTCTTTTGGAAATTAACCACCTGATTTTCAGTCAGTTCTGAGAAAGCAGGGATGTATCTTATTAGACCGTCATTCAGATTCACTGGCTGCCTGTTTGTTCTCGGCAGGGAGAGTACCTTTCCACGCAGGCATTCAGGGAGCTGAGTAGGTGGCAGGTTCCGGAGGTGCTGTAGGGTCAGGGTTCTCCACCTGGGCACTATTGACAATCTGGGTCAGATAATTCCGTGTGTGGGGGCTGTCCTGCAAGTGTGGGGTGCTTAGCACCTCTGAATGCCGATACCCATTTCTCCCCCCCACCCCTGCCCCAACTTGTGACATTCTCCAGTGTCCCCACACATTGCCCAGGTGAGATCGCCCCCAGTTGAAAACCACCGGATCCTTTCCCTTATGTTCAGATAGGACCCTTGGTATCTTGTCTGGGCACAACATTTATTTTGTGAATATCAGCTCTTAATTTTAAGCAAATGTTCACTTACTTGCCAACCTGCGCTTGTTAATGTTCTAGGGACGCCCGGGGACCCTCAGGACAGTCCTCCGGAGCCCAAGCGGCCTCGGCTTGGTGAACACAAAGGAAGTTCCCAAGGTCTGGAGCCTTGAGGAGATCTGTCTGCTGCTCGAAGGCTGCCAGGTCTGGGGACCCCCGTGCACAGAGAGGGGGTGCTAGGCCGGGGACACCGGAGACCAGTGGCAATAGGCGGAGCCTGATGGATACTCGTGAATTGTTTACTGTAACAGAAGATACACACGGACCAGTTTTTCTCCAGAACTATGTTTGCACTTGTATTCAAGACACATGCTTACCTCGGAGCAGTGAACGTTTTCATAGACCGGATCTTCTTTTGAGTTTCTGAAACTGGAGCGGTTCAGCCTTGTCTAGTGTGGAACAGGGAGTCCGTCCTTGAAACACAGGGAAAGTGCAGATGCTTTGCGAGCAGACCCTTCCCAAAGCTGGCATGAGAGAGGAGAAAGTTATTTGAGAAGGTTTATTCTGCTGATGTTCCCTTCTGAATAGTTGGTTTTTAGGAGTTAGTTTCCTTTCTGACTGTAAAGGTAATAAAAATGCTTGTGCTGGAAAGCTAGCGAGAATAAAGTAGGAAAAACGGGTCCGAGATGGGACTCTGCCACCCTCTTCCTGCTGGAAGGAACCATGTTGCTATGTTGGCATATTTATTTCCTTTTTTTTTTTTTCCCCAGGGAGAGAGTGGAGATTTCCCTTTAGAGTTTGGTATCCAAATAGGTTAACTTTTCAGATTGATTTTTCAGAATAAAAGAACTTTTCCTGAGCAGTTTTTGCCTCTGCCTTTGCTTTCCCCATCTCCGGGTTGAGGGTGTGTTCTCTCCTGCGGGGAGGGAACCAGAGCTGGGGGCTGGGCGCGCACAAGGTGCTGGCCACAGGAGGCAGTCCCTGGGAAACGTGCTCGCGGTGGCTGCTGGTCCTGCGGCAACGGGGTGGAACCCCCGTCTGGAAGCGCCCGCTGCTGCTTCTCACCCAGAGGAGGTGCTACCGTTGAATTTCAGGATGTGTGACACCTGCCACTTTGGCATAGCGGACACCATGAGTTGTGCAAGCGAGGCCTTCCCCCCCACCACCCCTGGCGTTCTTCCCAGTCTGGAAGAGACGGAACCCCAGTCAAGTCTGACGGGAAGTGGCCAAGGAGTGGAGGAGTGTGCCCTTTTGAACTCAGGTCAGCAGCAACAAAGGAAAGAATTGGAAAGAGGATCAATTTGTTGCTTAATCCATAACCTAGTTACCCAGAAGAGTCTGCCTCCCGTCTAGATGGGAAAGTGGCACCCGAGGGATGATTCACCGTGGACTGAAGGGGGGAGGGGGGTAAATGTGTGCACAGCTATGACGACACAGGTGTGGGTCACACTCAGTATGAAGACACTTTAAGATGTCAAATGGTATCTGTTTTGACCACTGATTCTCAACCTTCACCGCACACTGAAATCACCCAAACAGGTGACCAGGATACCGTCACTTGGGTGCCTGCTCCAGAGCATGTGGCCTGATGGGGCTGGGGGCGTGGTCACGGTTCTTGAAAAGCTGAGTAATTTTGTTTTTAATGTTTATTTTTGAGACAGAGCGTGAGCGGGGGAGAGGCAGAGGAGACACAGAATCCGAAGAAGGCTCCAGGTTCTGAGCCGTCAGCGCAGAGCCCGACGCGGGGCTCGAACTCGTGAGCCATGAGATCATGACCCGAGCCAAAGTTGGACACTTAACCCACTGAGCCACCCAGGCACCCAGAGCTCCAAGTAATTGTGACGGCCAGCCATGACTAGGAAATCCTAAGAGGAAAGCTTTCCCCGCATATGATCTCTTCTGGTTATTTAAATACATTTCCACGGAAAGCTTTTTCTTGCTTACTCTCTGTCCTCACTGGCACCCCTAATACGGTAGCTCTGCTGTGTGTTTGAAAAGATAACGTGTGAGATGCCGTCGGCTCCTCAGAGCCAAAAGATCATTTTAGATTTCCTGAGGCTGGGGGCGCCTGGGGCAGGTGGGGGAGCTGGCGGCTCAGGCGGTTAGGGGTCAGGCTCTGCGCGGACAGTGTGGAGCCTGCTTGGGATTCTCCCTGTCTGCCGCTCGCTCTCAAAATAAACTTGAAGTTTTTTTTCCCCTGAGGCTAGAGTGAGGGATATTTCGTGGTCATCCATTCCTGTACAAGGAGGTGCGATGATGGGTCCTGTGTTCTCGGTGAGGGAGCCTGCTCTCCTGGCCTGACTCCGTATTTGTCTACACATCTGTCTCGTGCAGCAACAAGGTGGTGGGGGGCAGACCAGGAGCACCTTTAGCCTGAGGTAGTGTTTCGAGGTACGACTCAGTTGTCAGCCGCCACCGGATGTAAGTTACAGAATCAGCCATCAAAGCCCAAGCCGCGTAACCCTGCATCCTGATCTAAAACCGCTTCCATCCGGCTAGTTCCCCAGGGAAGCCTGCTGCAAAAGGAGCCCGGCCTGAAGGGTGGGCGGTAAGAACCGACTCACCACCCGGGATCTGCCGTCATGTGGGGTGTTTGCTCCTCAGTGTTGCCGGCCATTCCTGGTGCCTCCTCACACCACCGTGGGTGACCGGGCCCGAGCCACTGTGCCAGCGGCCTCCGGGCGGGGTGCCCACCGGGGCAAGGGCGCTCGGGCAGAGAGCGAGCGTGTGCCGCCGGGGGCAGGCACGTCTGTCACGGCCGGTCCTCTTACTCATTTCTGCCCCTGCGGCCACTTCCGGTGTCCTTGGGGGAGCGCTCACATCTGCTCGTCAGTGGTACTGTCGACCCTTCTTAGCAAAACAGTTGTCAGCGTCCGTTTCAACAAGTAGGTTCCAAGTCCTGGGCTCTGCAAACTTCAAGGAGGGAGGCATGGGTGGTGGAGGACGGAGGGTAGAGGACGGGTGGCCCAGCCCTTCCCACCCGCACGTTCCCTTTGTTGCTCTGCTGTAGTCCAGTTGGCTCCCTCACACCTGTTGTGTGCATGTCTCTAAGGGAGGCACAGACCTCGGACAGGTTACTTCGCCAAAAGAAGTTTCTTTACAGCTCGACTAACTGTGCCCACCTTGGCAGGGCAGAGGGTGAAGAGGAAAGGTGGGACAGAGGTGAGAAAAACTGAGGGGCTGGAGGTAAACCAGGTCGACCTTCCCCCGTCGAAGGAACAGGTACCTGTAGTCTCAGGTGAGCTCTCATGGCCACTGGAGGTCGCTGTCCCCCCTGGATCTGTCCAGAGGTAGGTCTCCCGGGCGACACAGCCCCGCCCCCTTCCATGTAGGCCACAGCCCTGCCAGGCTGGGAATCAACTTGGCCACAGTGGCCCCGGACGCTGGCTTCAGTCCCTGGTGGCTGGTCCTAGAGGAGCAGGGCTTAAATTGGGGTTGGAGGGGGGTTAAGAAAGTAACATGTGAGTATCCATCTCCATTCACTCACTCATTCACTCATTCATTCAAGAAATGTATATGGGGACATCTGGGTGGCTGGTTGGTCGGCCAAGCATCCGACTCTGGATTTCGGCTCAGGTCACGATCTCAGTTTGTGAGTTTGAGACCCGCTTCGGGCTCTGCACAGGCCGTCCAGAGTCTGCTTGTGATTCTCCTTCCCTCTCCCTCTCTCTCTGCCCCTCCCCTGCTCTCTAATAGATAAACTTAAAAAAAAAAAATGCTTATCAAACACCCAGGTACCAGGGTGTTTGGTACATCAGGGAACAAGAGACAACTCCCAGAGCTTACGTCCTGGCTGGGGGAGACGAGCAATAAACAAGTAAATCTACGCTGGAAGAGGACCACGGGAAAAGGGAAAGATGGGCGTCAGGGGCGGGTGGAGAGGGTTACAGCTCCAAGAGGAACAGCTCCCCTGAGAGGGTGGCGACAGCTGAGGGGATGGAGAAACAAGCAGAGCAGGGGCCCCAGCTCTTCCAGGAACGAGGTCACAGCTCAGGGACTGATGGGCTCAGTGTCCAGGCTGGGTGTTTTGGGGTCCCCTGCACCCTGGCTCCTCCTGAGCGATGGGGGTGCTCGCACTCGGGAGACCGGACCCGGGCCTAGGGTGACCACTGCACCCTTGTCATCGGGACAGGGAAGGCGGCTGCCACGCTCCGCTGGCAGTGGAAGCTTCCTGAATCGTACATCCGGTCCAGCTCTCGCTCCAGATCAAAGAGCCACGCGTCGCACGCCGTTGTCGTGTGCTTCCTGCTTTTAAGCAAATTCTGCAGCAGTTTTAACAGCTAAGTTGTCAGAAGTGGTGGCTGTGGAAGGCGCGTCCTTCATTGTGGCCTCTGCACCTGAAGTTCTTCCTTCCTCAGCACAGACAAGGGCAAATGGGGAGCAACACACTCTCACTCGGATCCCCTACAGAAGCCCTAGGTTTCCTTAAGTTTGAGCTTAGAGATGCTGTGAAGAAGTGTTGCTCCTTTTAAAAGGGTGGTAACTGGGGCGCCCGGGTGGCTCAGTCGGTTAAGCGTCCGACTTCAGCTCAGGTCATGATCTCACGGCTTGTGAGTTCGAGCCCCATGTCAGGCTCTGTGCTGACAGCTTGGAGCCTGGATCCTGCTTGGGATTCTGTGTCTCCCTCTCTCTCTGCCCATCCCCCGCTAACACTCTGTCTCTGTCTCTCTCAAAAATAAACAAACAGAAAAACAATAAAGAGGTAGTAACAGATGCTGGTATTGATCCTGTGGGGTCAGGACATCAGCCTTTTTTTTTTTTTTTAAGTTTATTTATTTTGAGAGAGAGAGAGAGTGTGTGCAAGCAGGAGAGAGGCAAAGAGAAGGAGAGCGAGAATCCCAAGCAGACCCCACTCTGTCAGCACAGAGTCGGATATGGGGCTTGATCCCACGAACAGTGAGATCATGACCTGAGCCGAAATCAAGTCAGGCGCTCAACCGACTGAGCCACCCAGGTGTCCCTGGCCTCATTTCTTAATACCCCAGATGACTGATGCCTCCTGTCATAGCACGTTACCCGGGAAAGGTGTCTCAAGTGTAATAACAAGACTTCGAAAACAACTCCGCATCCCTGCCCTCAGTGAGCGCCCCTGGCAGCTCTCAGGAAAAATGTGTGTCTGGGAGGAAGTCAGTGCTGTCCCCGGCCCCTCCAGACCTCCTTTCCCCAGAGGTCCCTCTTCTGTCCCCATGGCCAACTACCTGCCAAGTACAAGGAGCTGGCAGCACGAGGCTTTCCGGCCATTGCACATGTCATCTGTGGGGCTTTACAAACAAAAGAAAACCAACTCAAGTCTAGGCTTTGTCTAGACCCTGGAATCAGCTTCTATCGGTGGGAAGCCAGGCACATGCATTTCAAAAACGCTCGGAGAGATTCCATGGGCAGTTGGCATGAGAACCACCAAGTGGAGGTGTGTGAACTCTGAAAGATAACAATGAAGGACAAAGTTCTTTGAACTCACTGATTTTACAAAGAAATACATATCCAACTACTCAAGAGGAGGCTGGATCTTGAAGACTTTGCCACCCGGCTCTAGTGTCACTCTGCTTCTACTTAAAAAAGTCATAGGAACGAAGAGACACTATGTTAGCGTAGCCACCTCCAAGCTAGCCACCCACAGGGGTCACCCCCCGCCCCCCTCGTTTGGAACAGGGATTCCATGAATTTGGGTTCCTAACGAATGAGTACTCCAAGAAACCACTGGGGGGCGATATTGCCAGTCCGTGACTCCACTGTCCAATTTATGAACTAATGTATTTTTAATGAGAGGATTTTTAATCCCATTGTTATGGAAGTGGCATATTATCTATTGCAATACATTTTCATGTTTATTACTTTCTATATAATTGCATGCTATTTTGTCGT